AATCGAAGCAACCTCGCAAGCCTCACAAGGCTGCCGAGGAGAGAAACTTAGCACCACTAGAACTCCTACATTCAGATCTTTATGAAATGAATGGGGTGTTGACGAAGGGTGGAAAACGATATTTCATGACGTTGATTGATGATGCTACTAGATTATGCTATGTGTACTTGTTAAAAACGAAAGACAAGGCTCTAGACTATTTTAAAATTTATAAGGCAGAAGATGAAAATCAACTTGACAGAAAGATAAAAAGGCTTTGGTCTGATCGTGGTGGAGAGTTTTTCTCAAACGAGTTTGACTTATTCTGTGAGGAATATGGCATCATACATGAGAGGACGCCTCCCTATTCTCCTGAGTCTAATGGGATTGCTAAAAGGAAGAACCACACACTGACTGACTTGGTGAATGCCATGTTGGATACTGCGGGACTACCTAAGGCATGGTGGGGGGAGACATTGTTGACCTCGAATCATGTGTTAAACAGAGTTTCTAACAGAAATAAGGACAAAACACCATATGAGATATGGATTAGGAGAAAACCATCACTTTCTTACTTGCGCACATGGGGGTGCTTGGCGAAAGTCAATATACCAATAACGAAGAAGCGCAAACTTGGACCTAAGACTGTGGACTGTGTCTTTCTAGGATATGTTCATCACAGCATTGCCTATAGATTTTTAATAGTTAAATTTGAGGTACCTGACATACATATTGGTACAATCATGGAGTCTCGTGATGCTACCTTCTTTGAGAGCTTTTTCCCAATGAAGGATACACATAGTAGTTCTAGCCAAACCTCTGAAATAATTCCCAATTCAATCACACCACTAGAACAAACTGAACATACACATGAACATGTCACTGAGGAGGATGACAGTGAAGCTCTTCGAAGGAGTAAAAGACAAAGGACGGCTAAGTCTTTTGGTGATGATTTCACTGTGTACCTCGTGGACGACACTCCTAAGTCAATTTCAGAAGCATATGCATCTCCTGATGCAGACTACTGGAAGGAAGCTGTCCGTAGTGAAATGGATTCCATTATCGCTAACGGAACTTGGGAGATGACAGAGCGACCCTATGGGTGTAAACCTGTGGGGTGCAAGTGGGTGTTCAAAAAGAAGCTGAGGCCTGATGGTACCATTGAAAAGTACAAGGCTCGGCTTGTTGCTAAGGGCTATACTCAGAAAGAAGGCGAAGATTTCTTTTACACTTACTCACCTGTTTCCAGATTGACCACAATTCGTGTGCTACTTTCCCTAGCAGCCTCACATGGTCTTCTCGTTCATCAAATGGACATTAAGACAGCTTTTCTTAATGGAGAGCTGGATGAGGAGATCTATATGGATCAGCCTGATGGGTTTGTAGTTGAAGGTCAAGAAGGCAAGGTGTGCAAATTGTTGAAGTCTTTGTATGGTCTGAAATAAGCTCCTAAGCAATGGCACGAGAAATTTGATAGAACATTGACATCTGCAGGCTTCGCAGTCAATGAGACAGATAAATGTGTATACTATCGCCATGGTGGGGGTGAGGGAGTTATTCTGTGCTTGTATGTTGATGATATACTGATATTTGGGACAAACCTTGAGGTGATAAATGAGGTTAAATCATTCTTGTCTCAAAAATTTGATATGAAGGATTTGGGATTAGCTGATGTTATCCTAAACATTAAGCTAATTAGAGGTGAGAATGGGATTGCACTTTTGCAGTCCCATTATGTGGAGAAAATTTTGAATCGCTTTGGCTACATTGATAGTAATCCTTCTCCAACACCTTATGATTCTAGCTTGTTGCTTCGCAAGAACAAGAGAATTGCTAGGAATCAACTGGAATACTTCCAAATTATTGGCTCGCTGATGTACCTGGCTAGTGCAACTAGGCCTGATATCTCCTTTGCTGTGAGCAAGTTGAGCCGGTTTACCTCTAATCCGGGAGATGATCACTGGCGTGCGCTTGAGCGAGTAATGCGCTATCTGAAAGGTACTATAGAATTGGGGCTTCACTATTCTAGGTATCCTGCGGTACTGGAAGGATATAGTGATTTTAACTGGATCTCTGATGTGGATGAGATCAAAGCCACTAGTGGATATGCCTTCACACTAGGTGGTGGTGCTGTTTCGTGGAGGTCTTGCAAACAGACCATTTTGACGAGGTCAACCATGGAAGCAGAGTTGACGGCACTAGACACTGCTACTGTTGAGGCAGAATGGCTGCGTGATCTATTAATGGATCTGCCTATTGTTGAAAAACCGGTGCCGGCTATCCTTATGAGCTATGACAATCAAACGGTAATTGTCAAAGTGAATAGTTCTAAGGATAATATGAAATCGTCTAGACATGTGAAAAGACGATTGAAGTCTGTCAGGAAATTGAGAAACTCCGGAGTTATAACATTTGATTACATCCAAACAGCTAGAAAGCTGGCAGATCCCTTCACGAAGGGACTATCACGAAATGTGATAGACAATGTATCGAAGGAGATGGGTTTGAGACCCATGTGAGTTATACTATGGTGGTAACCCAGTCTATGTGATCGGAGATCCCGTGAATTAGAACCTGGGAAGAACAAACCATTAGTAAACTAGAGGAGAGTACCAATATATACTCTATCTAAGTGAAGATGCATGTACTCTCGTGAGCTGAAAGGCAAGTTGGCTATGCCTTATTGAGTTCTGTTGGCTTTAATTAGCGGAGATGTTGTCCTGCAGAGCATTCTTGAAAGAACTCACCTTTGTAATCTTGATTGTTGGTCGCAGTCTATGGAGATTTTGGGTGAAACTTCTAAGAAGCTTACTAAAGACCTAGGAGTATGACTTATACGCTCCACCCGAGGGGTAGTCTACAGACGGTCTAGTACCAGATAAGACTCTGAGTGAAACTTACTTGCACAAGACTTGCAATTCAAGGCGTAGTCTATTGTTCAAGTTGTGAGTAAGTGTAGCTTGGAGTTCTAGGTGGATGTTCAACCTTAATCGGTCTTCATCGAACCGCTGGTATATAAACAGTACATTGGAAAAGGCAAATCTCAGTGGGATTTTGAGATTTGGTGGGGGATTGTTGGAATTAATAGATGGGCTAAGGCCTATTCGAAGATTAATTCTTTGGAAAATCACAAAAACCCACCTCATGGGTGGCATGCATGTGGAGTTTAGTACCACCTTACTTATTCTAGGAGAGGGGGACCTCCTTAAAAGGGAGGATGTCCTCCTACCACTTGAAGCATGTGTGGTGGAGAGAAGAGGGGGAACACACGCGCGCGCTCGCTCGCCTGGCCTGGCCTGGCAGGCGATGCGCGCACACGACGTACGTGTCGAACGTACGTGTCGAATGGTCCGCAAAATTGGCTCCTCACCCTTATGCAGCCTCCTTTTTGCAGTTTTGTTTTGCTGCAGGAAAATTCGGATTTGTTTTGTTTTGGAAACACTCCGAAAAATCCGGTGCGTGAAAACAGCGTGGAGTCTAGATAAGTTACGCGCGACTTATCCGGTCCGGTTCGGTTACGCGGGGTGGAGATCGTGTGGTCGCCCTGATCAAGCGACCTATCTCTATATAAACCGAGCCGCTGCCTTCACGCAACACACACGAAATCAATCTAGGGTTTGCCTCCTACTCTATACTGCGCCGTCGCTCATAGACTACTCCATCCCGCTCGCCGGCGTGCACCGGCGATCAGGAGAGCAGGTCTCCGGAACCTCTGCCTTCGATGTCCTGCACCGGGAGAAGGCGGCAATAAGGTTTTTGGGAAGCGCTTCGCGCGACTGCTCTCTGTTCGTCCGCGACGGCTCGCCTTCCTCTCCGCTCGCGTGCTTCGCGCCTTCGTCGACGCTCGCAGCCGTGAGTAGTTCCTGCCGAGCAACCGGTCTTTCCACCACCTCGGTACATGTTCGACATGTTGCGCATATTTGATCTGTTCATGTTTTACTGCTTAGTTTACATGTGTAGATCTAATGATGCGTTCAATCTAATTTACATTTGCAATGTCATGATTTATTTATGGAATAAATTAAATTATTATGTGCTTATAATTTCAACAGTACTAGCATGCATCAATTTGCTGGGCAGGTCAGATGAACCCTGGTAGTCCGAAGAAAGATTTGAACGTTAATATCAATACATTTTTCCAACTACTCTTGAGCTCTCTAATATTACAACATACAAGTTCATCATGAAAGCAGCAGATTGCAAAATTATGGCTCCATGACCATGCATGTACCGACCATGATGGTCCATCCCTGCAGCTGCAGCCTGCAGGTAGTATATGGGACGTCACCTTCTGCGGCCGTGTAGGAACAAATTCAGGAGAGACCTACGGATCGGACGTCGGATCAGGAGAAAAAAATCGGACGCTCATTCCAGTCAACGGATCGAGGGATTAAATCCCGACCATTGATAGCGTGTCGTCAGTGTTAGATGCAAACTTCTCCCGCGTAGCTACATGCATGCATGCAATTTTTTCCGCGCACAGAATTGCATGTCTGACACGGATAGATAATGTTTTGTAAGCAAACTTTAAACTATTTTTTATGTCTTAAATTATTAATCCAAATCATGATCCAATTACACCATTAAATTCGTTGCAATTAAATCTTTAAAATAAGACCACATATGGATATATTCCAACGAAAAAGTTTTTTAGCTTATTATTTAATTATTTTTAAATGTTGCACGATGTTACACCAAGTATATCGAAATTGTTTCACTAAGTAGATCGAAAATATTTTAGTCGTTTAAATCGGGCGTTGTTTCACCTTATATAAAAACAATGTTTCAGTAAATAACGAAAGAATGTTTCAGTTCAATGCAACATTAGATCTATACATAGTGAAACATTGTGAGTACACTAGGTGAAACATTTTATGTGCAACAACAAATAAAATGAATTCCCTTAATAAAGTATTTTCAAAATGGCAAAATTTGCTACAGGACACTCAAAAAACGTGTAATTGACTGAGAGACACCGCAAAAACGAGACACGGCTGATAGACACTACAAAAATTGTGTAATTAGCTATAGGACACCGAAGACAATATTTTATAATATCCAGGTCAAAAGAGGTGAGAAATTTTTTGAAATGGCAAGATTGCCCCTGGCTCCATCTTCCTCCACCTGAAATCACACCAAAAAAAATTAGCAGGGAGCAGCCGCCGGCGAGTTTGTCCTATGGAGCGGGTAGCGGCAACTGCGCGCCAGGAGCGGCCGACGGCGCAGAGGCGGACGCGGTCGGGGAGGGAGCGCGGGGGCGGCGGCGTGGAGCGCTAGCAGGAGGCGGCTGCGCGCGTGGCCGGCGACGGCCATTCGACGCGTACGTGTTCGACATCAACACCGAAAACCATTCGACGCGTACGTGTTCGATTAACGCCCAGGCTCAGCCGGAGGAGGAGCAGAAGTGCGTCCACTGCGGCGGTGGCGTCGCCGGAGCGCAGGTGGAGGCGGCACTGAACCGCAAGAACGTGGAGGCGCTCCCGGAGGATGAGACGGTGGAGGGCGGCCCAGATGACGTGTGGGTGCCCGACCACGAGACTTGCGTCTTCGTCCCCGCCGACAAGGCCGCCGTCTTCGGCACTGAAAACCATGACCACTGCGGAGCGGCGGCGGTGGCCGGCGGCTCGCCGTCGGTGCTTGACCAGGCTGTGTTCGTCCATGAGGAGGACATGGAGGACGTCGAGAGGCCGGCCGTCGACATGGCCGCTGCCAATCACAAGCCCAAATGAGCATCAACTTCTTGCAGCAATAACCAATAAAGCCAAATAATGCCTTCTGAAATCTCATGTACAGCTAGAAGTAGAAAATTTCCAGTTGAAATCTTGCATCCTTGGTTCTATGAATCTTGTTATCTACAGTGATCAATCGATCAATCGGATAACCTGTTCTTTGATGAATCTTGTTGTGTTTTTATCGGATGGAATTTGCTGGGATTGCTTTGAATTCGTGCACGACGCCATCGATCTCGATGAGGCTGCAGCCGGGGACCTTGTCGATCTCGTTCCTCCTTATCTGCCTCCTCACCTTCACCGCCTCGCCGTGCCAGCCATTAGACGCGTACGTGTTCGACATCAACACGTAGTCGCCGGCGTCTGCGTCGGTGTCGGTGGTGCGCCGCAGCATCACCCGCTCGGCACGCTCGACGTCACTGTGCGCGCGGCATGCGACGAGCAGCGAGCCCCAGATGAGCGCGTCGGGGTGTGCTGGCATTGCCGCGACGAGCTCCTCTGCCTCGTCTAGTCTCCCGGCGCGGTCGAGCATGTCGACGACGCAGCCGTAGTGCTTGATGCGAGGTTCTGGCATGGCGTCGAGTTGCTAGAGCCCCTCCTCAACGAGTCCGGCGTGATAGCACGCCGTGAGGACTCCGAGGAGGGTCACCTCGTTCGGCATCACGCCGGCTTGTTGCATGCCGGCGAATAGAGACAGGGCGTCCTCACCGCGGCCGTGCATTGAGAGACCCAGGATCATGGATGTGTAGGTGTACCGGCGAGACCCAGCGACCGGCGGCCACAGCAAGCCTCATATCGGCCAGCGTTTAACAGCCTCCTTGCGCACGGCCACCTCCTGCTCGTGCTCCGCGCCGCCGTCACCGCCACCGATGCCAACCTCGCGCCCAGCCGCCTCCTGCTCGCGCTCCACGCCGCCTTCCTCGCGCTCCCTCCCCGACCGCGTCCGCCTCCGCGCCGTTGGCCGCTCCTGGCGCGCAGTCGCCGCTCTCTCCCTTGCCATGGACAACCTCGCCGGCGGCTGCTCCCTGCTATTCTTTTTTTTTGTGTGATTTCAGGTGGAGGAAGATGGAGCCTGGGACAATCTTGCCATTTTGAAAAATTTCTCACCTCTTTTGACCCGGATATTATAAAATATTGTCTTCGGTGTCCTATAGCCAATTACACAATTTTTGTAGTGTCCATCAGCCGTGTCTCGTTTTTGCGGTGTCTCTCAGCAGTGGTGGGGACACATGCACGAGCGCGGACGCGCGCGGGAAGTGCGGCACGTGGAGGGATCACCCGATTGTTTGGCGCACGGATCGGGTGCTCGGGTTCAAGCATTTTCGGATATTTTATCAAATATCGGACGCCCACCCATCCTTGGCGTTTGACACATCCGTCAGGATGCGCATCGTATACCGTTTGCATGTTGGCTTGTGGCGCATGCATGGCGTATGTCACATGCATGTATTTTTTCTACTTTCTCTCTCTTTTCCTTTTTCTAAAATATGTGTTCAATATATAATTCTAATGCGTCATTTTATTCGTCATAATTAGATCTTTATAACCAGATCTCACCTAGATATATTTTGATAAAAAATATTTATTAAAAAATCAAACTTATGTTGCACCATCTAAAAAAAGTTTCATCACATGTGCAGATGCGTCAACCCAGTTCATAAAATGTTCCAGAGATTCAACGTATAAAAAGTATTGGCTATAACAGCAATTATCACTACATGAAACATTATGTCCCAACTAGTGAAACATTGAAAAAAATCATATGATACAATACATTTGCAAATATTTGATTTTGTTAAAATATTATTGTATTTAGCTTGCATCGAATTGTAATTGTTGAAACATAAAAAAAAATGGTTGCTGAAATATATAAAAAATAATGTGCAACATTGCTAATGCATTAGTGAAACATTAATAAATACTTGTTGGAACATACATTAACAATGTGTGCAACATTTAAAAAGTAAAAAAAAAGGTCATCAGAATATAGTCATGTGATATCTTGTTATAAATATTTAATTATAACAAATCCAACGATATAATTAGTTTGAAATTCAGATAAATAGTTTGAGAGAAAAAATCATTTTAAGTTTAAAATATGCTTGCATGCATGCTTAGACTTGCCATGCACCTACTGCTCGTTTGGACTGAGGCGTCCGATTTTTTCTTCCGTGTCGGATGGCTGATGGTAAGCATTATCGACAAATTCACCCTGATGTTGCCTTGTGTAGTTTTTGTGGTGCCCGTTTCACGTAGTACAAGGTGCCCATGTTCTCCTCGTTGGCGCGTGTTCTAGAAATCGGCTCCGCTAGCCGGTTTAGTTATCAAAACCCATCTAGGTTTAGCTCTTTGCTAGATCGAGGTGGTTGGCGACTCTAGGATCACCACATGGCTTAAGGTGCTGCGATCGTGCTTGTCAACTTGTCAAAAAAGTTGCCAACACGATTTTTGGCGACTCCACTAGGGAGGAGATCCGTTCATTGTCAACTCAACTTCGACTTCACCATGACGAAGCCGCCATCCAAGACGGAGGTGGAGCCATCCAATGTGATACCGGTCACATTGGAGGATTTTGATGAAGAGGACCGCAAAGCTATGGAGGAGTACATCAACGAACTCACGCGAGAGGCGTTGATGAGGGCAAGCACTAGGACTCGTCAAGGCGTGATCATCAATCTCGGGCCATGTCCTAAGCTCGCCCCCGATTTGGTAAGTAATGATGAGGTAACACAATCTATCCAACAACAAGTAGCATCTACAATAGATTCATCTATGATTGCTTTCAAAGATAAGTTAGATGCAACTTTTGAGGGTAAATTTGATGAGTTTTTAAGGGTTAAATTTGGCCCTCTTATGGCCGATTACATGTCAAAGGATAAAGCCTCTACCGCTGCTAACCAACCTCCTATAGATCAAACGGGTAGTAAAACCGATGGAGCGGCACACACGGCCGGTCTGACCGGGTCTGACGGCCAGTCCGACCATGACTTAGCCGTCGGTCCGACCGGCCAAACGGCCGGTCAGACCGGGTATTACCCTGGCGGTCAGACCGGTACTCAATCCGATCCGATCGCGCCTCTGGATGCCGGTCAGACCGGGCCTTGGGCCGATCAGACCGGCGCGATTATACCTATACGGGGAATCGATCCGATGACTAATGCTAGTTATTTGTATCATCTTAGAACATTTGATCCTCCTGTATCTACTGCTGCAAATAATCCCCAAGTTCCCCCACATGTTCCTAATGCTTATAATGATGTTGCTAGGGGGTATCCTCCCGATACTAGACAAGGCCAATATAATCATATTGTGCCACAAACACAACCTATTAGGCCACCAAATCCACCGCCAAATCAACATGGGCCTAATAATATGGAGGATATAATTAGTGAGATTATTTGGAATAGATTCGGGATTGAAACTAGGAATCGTGCTAGGGTTTACAAAAAGCCGTATCCTGATTATTATGATAATGTACCGTTTCCCTGTAATTATAGAGCTCCCGAATTTACCAAGTTTAGTGGTGAGGATGGTAAGACCACATGGGAGCATGTAGGTCAATTTTTGGCGCAATGTGGTGAGGCTAATAGTGATACTTTTAAATTGCGCTTGTTTTCTTTATCTTTGTCCGGTAATGCTTTTACATGGTTTACTTCTTGACCGGCAAATTCTATTCATACTTGGGCTCAATTAGAAGAAAAATTTCATGATTATTTCTATACTGGAGAAACTGAGCTTAGGTTATGTGATTTAACATCGGTTAAGCAAAAGTATAATGAGCCTGTCATTGATTATATTAAGAGATTTAGGAATGTTAGAAACCGATGTTATAGCTTGAATATAACTGATAGAGATTTGGCTGGTCTTGCTTTTAATGGTTTAATTGCTCCTCTTAGAGAAAGACTAGATGGCCAATAATTTCTTGATGTTAGTCAACTTATACAAAGGGCTCTGGCTCAAGAAAGCCGGGTTAAGGATAATAAAAAACTTGTTAGATCATATGACAAAAAGCCTAATGTTAATGTGATTGATTACCCTGAGGCTACTGATAGTGAGGAGGAGGGTGATCATGATATATATGTTGCTGAATGGTCATGGACTAACAAAAACAAGCCTTTTGTTTGCTCCAACCTAATGCCGACTCCTTGCAAAGATCGGCAAAGTGAGGTTAAATATAGTTTTGATGTGGCCAAGTGTGATAAAATTTTTGATTATCTTTTACAAGAAAAACAAATTAGATTACCTAAAGGCCATGTCATACCATCTCAAGAAGAGTTGAAACGTCGAGCATATTGTAATTAGCATGATTCTCATTCTCATTCTACTAATGATTGCAATGTGTTTCGACGACAGGTTCAATCGGCCATAGATGAAGAACGATTGAAGTTCACCGATGGCTCCAAGATGAAGCTTGATCATGATCCTTTTCCAGTGAATACAATTAATTTCAATAATAAAAAGGTGTTGATTCGGCCGGAGCAAGCCGAATCTACTAAAGGAAAAGGAGTAATCATTGGTGAACCAAGACCAAAGATGATAGTGCCAAAGATGTCACGACCGGAAATAACCCAACGGGCGTTCCTTACGTGCGTGTATTATTCCTTGTCCCAGGAGGTAAGGTACACCAAAAGTTGATATATTTCAGAGTTTATCAAGTGGAAGCGTAAATAGTTAATTTATTACATGGGCGTCGAAGGCCCAGCACACACAAAGACAAACGGGAAATAGCGGAAGACTATGGCGACGACCACAGGCGCTTGACGGCAGGCACGAGCTAAACACCAAAGCTTTCATCATCCAGGGGCTCCTCTTCTGGGTTTGGGAAAAATTGAGCAAGAATAAGTACAACCACCGTACTCAACAAGACACACCCATAAGTGCAGAATAAATGCAAGGGAGTACAAGGGGGTTATAATATAAGGGTTAGGGTTTGCAGTAAACAGCATTAAAAGACACTTAGTTGCTCAAAGCTATTTTGTAAATACGATCCTAGAGCTATACAAGATTATTAATCAAGGCCGTGAACCCACACGAACCTGCCTTAACCCAAGGCCTACGAT